TAATTCATCACCTATTTCGAGTAGCTCATCCCGTGCGGTCCTCAACAAAAATGACATCGAAGGTGACACAAATTTGTCGATGATATAGTCTTCGGGGTAATACCTCAGCTCCAATGTATCCCTACATCAAAGAAAATTCTTTTAAAAAGAAATAAATAAAACCATACACTGTAAGATTTAATATTGTTTACCATTATCCAAACTAAAAGAAACCAAGAAAATACAAAGCTTTTCTACCATAAAACATACATTCCTGATTAGATTGGAATTATGTACTTACCTAAGAAAACCTTCGATATCGCATATGATAAGAATATGCAGTTCATTCTGTATGGCCTTAAATGATAAGAATATCTGCATGAAAGACGAAGACCAAATATTCAGCAAGAATATTATACAAAATCAAGCATTGTTCTGGTTTTTACTTGTTGCAGGTGAAGTTCTGCCCTCCTGCGCAAGTGCCCTTCCATTTTTGCGGTGGCGGTCCGAATCCATCGTCTGTGAAACTCGGAGATTCAGGCCAAAGTCCACCATCGATCACACCAATTATTATATCGCTCTCGATCTTGGGGACATGTATGATATTGTCACCAAATCCCATAAAATCCCAAGATCTTGTCGTTTGAAGCTGCAAAAACTCGTTTGGGAATACTGAAACTACACCTTCTCTACCTAAACACCACACACACATACCCCATCACCAAAACAATTAGCTTTAATTATTGCATGTTCGATTATTTGAGAATTCACCAATAAGCTTATCACTTTCAGATCTAGTGAGATTTGCGACAAAACCATTGAAACTTCTTCCATAGCTTCTGACTAAACAATCTCCTACAGAACTTTAGAACAAATGGAGAGGATATAGTGAGAAAATTATACCGTCAAAATTAAGGACAAGAAATCAGATTACAACTACAAGGGTAACATTATTAATTTAAAACCTTGACTCGATAATTTCTCCAAGAATATTTTTATGGTGAGACATAGGAACGTGATCAATGTTTGAAGGTGTAAACAATGTACACCTGCATTAGTGTTGATCAATTATTAGCTGTGAATACTTTTAGTTCGTAATCAATTGGAATGATATACTCGCCTTTCTATCGTCTTTTGCGGCAATAGAAATCTGATAGAAGCTCATGAGAAGAATCGAGAAGAGACATTGAACCAAGAAACAGGAAGCCATTTTTTCAGAGGTTGATATAATGTTGATAAGAGTTGATTGGTGCAGTTGCTAGGTACGACATGTTTTGATGATAATATATATAGAGATTTTTGGTGAAAATGCATTGATATTGGATTTTATGGTAAGTTATTGATAGAGGATGATGCATATGCAAAATCTTTGAAATATATCATTTAAGGTATCCTACTAAAACATGAAAGAAAATAAATTAAGCCTGTCAAATTGCTCTGTTTTTTGTACTAGTCAAACCAAAGGTACAAGTCAATGTACTGTCTGTTGGTATACTAATATTTTGTTTTGTTGACTTGGCTTTTTATGTTTGGAAATGAATTAAGTTTTGCTCATAAGTCATAACATAGAAAATTAAAGAATTGAAAAATCTTCTCTGAACATAAGTAATTGGACTTCCAAAAGATAAGAGTACGAAAACAAATAAATGGAGATTTTATATATAAAAAAGGAGTTGAATACTCAAATGATATTATTATCACTAGCTGACTCCCCGCGTTATACGCGGTTAAATATTTTTTAGAAATTATATAAATTAAAAATATTATTTTATGGTTAAAAATGGCTAATGATGTTCAATTTGGATTTAAATTCATCTTTATTTATATGAAATAATATTACTTTTTATTTTTTTCGTTTGTTTGCATTTATTCTAATTTCAGTAATAAGATTGACAATAAATTTATTTACAGTTCTCTTTTAATAACCAAATAAGATTTTGCTTTTTCTGAACATTTCTCCATTTCTATTGATGTTGTAGTGTCAACCTTGTCGTGAACACATTGCACCAAACTACTACTGCTGTGTGTGTAAATAATTTTATACCTTGAAAATTTGAAAAAAATGATATATTGTGATCAATTGTGTTCAATATCTATTTGGTTAAACCCGTGTGAATTATTCTATTTGTGAATAAAAATATATAAAATAAAATATCTACGATAGATAATATTGTATGGTTTGATTTTGGTTTGTGTTTGCATTTTAATCAAAATATCCTTTATTCGAATAGGTATTAGATCAATATTTTTTTTCGTAAGATTAAATATTGATTTTGGACATTTAGATTAAACAATATTATTTTTAATTTTACGTAAATTGTAAAAATATTCACATTGATATTTTATTATTTGCTTATAACTTTATATATCAAATATGAAATTTACTAAAAATAGAAAGTATTCAGAACAATAGTTTAAAGAGTACTTATTTTTTAAATAAATATGTACGTTTAGTATATAAGATATAGATTATGTTAAATTTGGCTTTTCTGAATATCTTAAATAGAATTTAGAATATAAATAAATTATTTAATATTTCAAAACATTAAAATATATAATCATAAATTTTGATAAATGAAACACGGATTTAAAATGTTTTTTTGTTACTTTCAAATTAAATAATTTTTTGTTACTTTCAAATTGTCTTGTGTTAAAACATTTCAAAAGAGTAATTATGTTTGTTGTTATAAATTTGGGAAGTTGTTTTCACAAAACATATCAAAAAAATTTTAAAAAATTTGGTAAGTCTTTATTATTAATTTCAAAAATAATATATATTCTATAAAAATGTTTTAGAATTTTATTATTACAATATTCAATTTCTAAACTATTTTTAGATGAGAAAAGAAATTTATATAAAATTTTATAATGAAAAACGAAAATCTCATAAAATATTGATTAGGAATTCTTTTGATTTATTTATGGAAACAAACATAAATTTATTTGTAAAATATTTTGTTATTAATTCAAAAATTTTATGTCACAATTATTTTATGATTGCAGAGTGACACATAAGCATCTTCTCACAAATCACTTCTTAAATAATGTATAAGAGATTTTTAGTTCTTTTGAGTTCATAACATTAATACTTGTTTTTTAATAAAATGACACTTTTCAAGTGGCACTTCAAAAATGCCACATTTTGAAAATCTTTGCAAAAATACCACATTTTGAATGACATTTTTTTCAAAATTATTTACTCATTATATCATTTATGTTTGAATTGACTATGTTGTAC